TCATTGCAGTTACAACTTCCTTGTGAGGGGAGAGGAGGGGTAGACACTGATCTCTTCTCTGTGGTGACCAGTGACAGGACCCAAGGGAATGGCCTGAAGTTGTGTTAGGGGAGGTTTCAGTTGGATATTAGAGGTTCTTCACCCAGAGGGTGGTTGGGCACTGGAACAGGATCCCCAGGCAAGTGATCACAGCACCAAGGCTTACAGAGTTCAAGAAGCATTTGGGTAATGCTCTGAGACACATGGTGTGACTCTTGTGGATGGTCCTGTGCAGGGCCAGGAGTTGAACTTGATGATCCTTGTGGGTCCCTCCCAGCTCAGAATATTCTGTGACTCTGTGATTTTCTGCTGGCCTGCCTTTACTGTGAGCCAAAATCAGAGAGCTGAGCCAAAGTGGGATTAAGACATGAATCTTTGTTCTCTAGAGTGGAGCAAAATCACAATATCACTAAGGTTTACAGGATTCTATGAATGGGACAAAGAGAGAGAGGATGGGGTTTACTATGCTGGAGTTGATTTTAACTTCAGCAGTATCAAATCTTCCAATGTGCAGAAAAGTAATGTATTTTTCCTATTTGCTTCTCTTTGTGCCAATCTCCCCCATTCACTGCTTTTAATAGGACCACACACGGGATTGAAGACACTGCAAATCTAATTGCAATCTGGATTTAATTTAGGGTGAAGTAAAAAATCATGGAGGGTGTAGCTGAACAGGCTTTCTCCAGCACAGCTTAACAAGATGCTTTGCTTGAATATTGATGTGCTATTGATGCCTATTCTTCCTGAAACTTTTAAGTAATTTTTTAAGTTAGTGAGAATTAATGGCCCTTGGCACAATTTTTAGTGTGCTAGAAAATATAAAAGAAATTAAAAAGTTGACCATAAACAATGAAAACTGTATATAGGTTTGCACTGTGAAGATGACAGACATCATTACACACACTTGACCATCAGTTTACTTAAAAATTATCGTTTTGAACTTATTTTTCATGGGATCTCATTTATCACTGAAATGGTGGCTAGGATGCTATGCTTTGAAATTTGAAACTTTATCCAGAAAAAAGCAATTGCAAAGAGGCTTTCTAAACATATTTTCTTTTTGGTAGCCTCTCTGTAGTGAAGTTATTGATGCTAAATGGTTTTCTTACACCAAGACCTGATCATACAAGCAGTTATACCTAGAATTAGTTTTATTTAGAATTGTGGAATGATTTATGTTAGATCTTCGAGTGAAGCTAAGCATGCATAAACTGCATCTATTCATCTGGCCCTTAATTCCTGTTAACTTTCTGTCCTAGTATTTTTTCCTTGCTCCTGGCAATTATATGTCCAAGTCACTACTTAGACCATGGAAATAATTTTTCAGTGGTCACTAGCTTTCACTACTGAGCAAACATGGAGACTCATGTAAAATGGAAGCTCTGTGTGTATGAGCCAGCTTGCTTAAAACCCCAGTGAGATGATGAGCGATGAGCATGACATGCCTGCCTGGCACCTTGGCTAAGTCCTTTCAAATCCCAGTCCCTGGCAATTTTTAGCAAGTCTTGTGACTTTCCTCTCACCTTTTCTGTGTCAGGGTAGCTTTAAACCCTTACAGTCTATTCCACATGATGCAGATGGAAATGGGATTCTGGCTGCAAGCACTGGAGATCACTCTTGACAGTCATGGCTTGCTGGTTTTGGCAGAAGCGATCCCTGCACAACCTTGCCTCACACTAGACAGGACAGCAGCTGCCTACTATATGGAGCAACCAGGCAAGCAGTCCTGAGTGAGTGGGAGGAATAGGAAGAGGTAAGCAGGCTAGAAAGCTCCATGCAATGGGAGCAGCCACTGTAAGGAAAAGGTATGGGAATCCCAAATAGGAAATCAATACAGATCTTGTTTTCTATGTCAGAAGGAGGAGATTTATACCTTTCTGCTAAGAATTCTGAAATATGCACATATACCTGTGAGTATAAATACCTAGTTGGATATTTCTGATCTTATTTGAATATTATTTGCTGAAGAATCTTTATTGTGAATTTGAGTCAGAGGACGCCTGTCCCTTTATCCACTTATATTCTGTACCTAAATGACTAATCAATGCCAGGGGAATTAGTTCCCTTATTAAATAGTTCCTGACCTAATTTCCTGAAGTGTCAGAATGGGACCAGATGACAGCAGACATGGAAGCCCAGAGAGGTGGTGGAATCCTGATTCAAATGATAACAGGAATCACATTCGTTGCACTCTAGCTGTGATTGAGAAAAGTATTTACAGCTTAAGAAACGTGCATTACATGCTGTTGTCATGAAAAGAAACCACAAAACATAGAGAAAAATCCAGCTCATTCCTCAGAACATCTGGGAAAAGCAGATGGACAGAAGGCTGATTCCCAGGAGTATACAGAAGGCAGAGTAATTCACCCACCCTCTGCTGATATCCCTGCTCTCTGCTGATATTTCTTTATCTGTTGACCACTTATCCTGTAGACTTGGGACCCATGAGTGATTTTAGGGTTGCAGAAAGGATGAATTGACTCACACACTGAGGAAAATGTGAGGATAAAGACCTTACCTAAGCACTTGAAAGGGGAAAATTATGTTGGGCTGGAGGGAGAGCAGGATTACTTGCTGTGCTGAAGGTAACCGAGGGAGCAGAGGGTGAAGACGGAGAGGATTACTTTGTTCTAATGTGGGATTCTCCAAGGGGGTATGATCTCCACATCATGAAGCAGCCATTAATCCAAACCTTTATAAACTGGTTTTAATCAAGTCTTCTAGCAATAGCACATAAAGCCCTCATAAAATGCCCTTACTAAGAATTTTGGAAAAGTTGACAACCATGCAAATACCACCCACACAACTGGTGGTTGTGGGCCCAAAAATCAGAGCACGTCAAAAACCACATCTTACAACAATAAAGCAACTCTCTATGCACCCCTCTTGCACTGATAGAGTTACTGTGGCTCCCAGGCTGGCTGCTGGTAGTGCCTCTGCTATCCTCCTTTGAGTGCACCAGCTCCCTGAGTACCCCTTTCCATTGGATGGCAGTGACCTACACCACAGAATAGCTGCAGGGAGTACCCATGGTTTTCTGATGTCTGCTAGACAAATCTGTTGGTTTGCTAGAGGTTTTGCAGCACAGTCTGGCTGGAGCAGGGCCTGAAGATGTGAACTGCTGTGCTGCGAAGGATGGAGCATAAGCAGCATATCTCCAGAGAGCAGAGATGGGAGTTCCTCCACAGTTGTCAAGCATCTCTCATGGGAGGGTAAAGGCAATTGGACTACTCTTCTCCTGCTCAGAATAACCCAGGGGTCTCATTTAGACAACTACAGCCCCAGATAGAAACAAATTGGTGGACTGGGCAACCGTCAACCACATGAAGTTCAACAAGGGGAAGTGCCAGATTCTGCACCTGGGATGGGGCAACCCCGGATGTTCGTATAGACTGTGGAACGAGATGCTGGAAGGCAGTGCCATGGAAAGGGACCTGGAGGTCTTGGTCAATGGCAAGTTGAAGATGAGTCAGCAGTGCCCTGGCAGCCAGGAGGGCCAACCGTGTCCTGGGGGACATCAGGCAAAGCATTGCCAGCTGGTCAAGAGAGGGGATTGTCCTGCTCTGCTCTGCACTGGTGAGGCCTCACCTTGTGTGCATTTTGGGCACCACAATGTAAGAAAGATGTGAAGCTATTAGAAGGTGTCCAAAGGAGGGCAATGAAGATGGTGAAGGGCCTTGAGGGGAAGCCGTATGAGGAGCAGCTGAGGTTTTTTGGTCTGTTCATCCTGGAGGAGACTGAGGGGAGACCTCATGGCAGTCTACAACTTTCCCGTGAAGGGAAGAGGAGAGGCAGACTGTGCTGACCAGCGACACACCTGAGGAAAGTTTTGGTTGGATATTAGAAAGAGGTTCTTCACCCAGAGGGTGGTTGGATCCTGGAACAGGTTCCCAGAGCCTGTTAGAGTTCAAAGAGTGTTTTGATGGTAATCTAAGGCACATGGTGTGACTCTTGGGGATAGTCCTGTGCAAGGCTAAGGTTGGACACAATGATCTTTGTGGGTGCTTTCCAGCTCAACATATTCTGTGATCCTGTGATTCTGTAAAATGCAGTGCATGCAACAGATGAGGTCCTGAGCTAGGTATACTTTGTGTGCAAACTGATAGGTTTCATTTGGAAAAAAGAAAATTATTTAAATGCTTAATAGAAACCAGCACTTCAAATTATATATACTCTGCCCTTCCTTGCTGCATATAGGCCTTTAACTTGCTAATGCTGCTGCAGCTGTTAAACTGTGCAGACTGGCTCAAAGCTACTGTAACAACATGCATTTCTTATATATGAGGCAGTGTAGAAAGAACTTTCTTTACAAAAATAGTTAACTAAGGATGGACAAGAAAATAGATGACTTGTAAACAGATATTTTTAGTTAAAATAACTTGATTATACCAGAATTTTTGGTCTATAAAGATAACAGAGTTTGTCAACTGTTCCCATCTGTCTCGTCCCTGTCCTGTGTCAGCAGGGGGAAGTAGTAACTAAGACCTTCTGTGGCTTAGATACTAAGTGCTTTCACTGGAGTATTTTTGTCCGCCCTCCTTTCTTTCCCTCTTTGACATCAGTAAGAAGTTTTATTTATACACTGCAATGAGATATTATATCTACTACGGAAAATTACTGACAACTGCTTTGTCAGTGACACTTATGTCCAAGTAAATCTGCCTAGTTTACAACATTTTTTGTTAGTCTGGATTAAAATTTTGCAAGTGCTGCTCCCTGCAAGATATTACTATTGTTTCAATTAGGCTAATCACTGTAACAGCAGTTTTCTAAAAATTGCAGTGATGGTGGCTTCAAGGCATGCAGCATGAGCAAGGACACCTCTTATTCCTCATCCAGACTTCAGACTGTGTCTCCAAGCCCTGTGCCTGCTCTTAGCACAGCCAGTTTAGCCCCACCCACTGAGCAGTCCAGCCTTTATTTATATGAAATCTGTGGTCCAACTGGCTTCAGATGGCGTGTGTATGTGCGTGTGCCTGCCTCCTGAGTGTGTGAGACGAGCTGGGATCATGAGCCAGGGTTGTTACAAGTGGTTTTAATCAGCAGTCCATTAGAGGAGAACGGAAAACTTCAAACAGATTAAGAACCAAGTAAGTAAACCTAACTTTGAACTTGAAATCTGGACAAAACAAATGGAAATGAAACCTTCGTAGTCTGTCAGTTTTCAGATAAATTATCACTTTTAGAGAGAAAGCTGTGCATGCTGACAGGAAGGAGGAAATTTAAAAGGAATGGAATGAAGGAAACTGTAAAAACAAAATGGGAATTGAGAATGCAAGAGAGTAAAAACAGCAAATGAGTGTTCGCAAAGTTGGTACACTCCCTTACTTTTTTTGAGCTGTGGACAGGACACGTTAAGCTTTAACCTCTTGCTTTCTTGTCTGGCTTCTGCAAAAGGGATGAAAATATCGCTCCTCACCTGTCTGCTGGCAGGTCTATTCTCCGAAGAGCACAGTGTGGAAAAGCTTACCATGGCTCCTTGCAGGATGCCCCACGACATGCTGCTGTTTGCTGCTGCTCAGTTGCTGTTTTTTCACAGGTTGTTCCAGTAGCCCCATGGGAAGGTGCTCCACAAACCTCCACTCCTCTGGAACAAGACTTCTTGCCTGGAACCAGGAAAACACTCAGCAGCAGAAATGGGAAAACTCATGCTAGTTTTGGATAAAGTGTGCCTTTAACTTTTTTTACTGTGGCAAGACGTGGCTACTTGGACTGCATCTGGAATGTGGCGAAGATTGAAGTGAGGACGGCAAAGAGGCCATGGTTTGTGGGCAAGTTCCCAGGTGCCGCAGGCTTTGTCGCCCTCGTCCCTTCCTTCTGGCCATAGTGGTGGCCATCTGTCTGTTCTGCCAGACCCTGACTCCTCTCATGACCAGCAGCATCCTTTCGGCAGTTGTTAATGGGATTACATCCAACAAACTGACCAAAACACAGCAAGGAAGGTACAAGGAGGTCTCCCCAAGCACCACTCACTGCTTCCTCCCTGGCAGTAATTCACAGACATTGAAAAAGGTAAGTCAGCTGGAGCAGAGTGCTGAGCAATAATTAGCAAAGCAAGGGATAGCAAGTCTGGCAGGATCATCTGAGTCCAGCTAAAATTAGCCTAAGCTTGAAAGTCTGGGATCTGTGTACAAACAAATGGGTGATCTAATGACAGCAGCATATGTGCAAGCACATTCCTATTACCAGCTCCTCAGAGTGCTGTTATTAACACAGGAATCCTAAAATCTTCAACTGAAACATGGCATTGCTCTGTGGCTCCAGTGAGAATTCAGTTTGCTGCACAGACCATACTTTATTTTGGCTTTGGGAATTGGTTTAGAGGCTTTACAGTACAGGCACATAAATCAGGAGCCAGGAGGGTTTCATGAAAGTGGCTGAGGTTGTTAATTGGCACGGAGACTGCAGCTGCCCTGTGTTAAAGTTATCTGCTCGTCAGCTTTGAACTTTACTGGGGTTCTGCTGAGAAGCTGAATTTAACTGCATTTGAGAAATAAAAGAAACAGTTTTTGTATTTTCAAATCGCACTATATACTTTGGAATCTTTGTCTCTCAAATTTTACTTTGTCCTCAGGTTACCTCATGTTTATTCTGTATAGGTTTCCTATGGATGGGTTTTAAAATCTACCAAATTCAAACACTGTTATTTTTGTTGGAAAATGTAGTTTGTTAAATGGTCCAGGTTGGGGTAGTTATTTATCCTCTGGAATCTGTGATCAGCACTAGCACAAATGTTTAATGTTTTCTTTAGTTGTATAGGAGAGCTGCTAATAGTGCAGCAGATACTACACTGTGAAATTATCATTATGCTGTCATTTTATGTACAACTGTAGCAGTACTATAAACAATTTTTTTTCCTCACAGATTAAGGACAGCATCCACATAAAGCAGTACAAATTTAAAAAAAAAAAAAAGTACAAAGCTACTTCTTTGATTAGACAGAGGTAACAGTCTAAAAGGTCAGCAATATTGATTTTAGGAGAGCGGTTGTAAAGTGCATCTTCTGCAACAATCAGAAATGGATACGTGAAATAACTCTGGCATGAACTCTTAAATTTTTTAACTTAACTCTTCATTTTTTTTTTTCTTGAGAAGGGCAGAGTTTTATCTTATGAATTGCAGAAATCTACTCCATGTTGCATTGTCATAATTTTATATTTTAATGACCATTTATTACACTAGGTACCCAGGTTCAGATTTGTTCAGCAATAACACATGAATAATTACAATTTAAAGGGAAATAAGCACAGCTGACATATGTGGGTTGCATTATGTGGATTACATCTTTTGACACATTCCATTCTTTTTTACCCTTTGCTATTGTAATGGCAAAGAACAGTTCATATCTTGCCTTTGGCTACTTAAAATCTAGAAGAACTGGTGACATAATGTCAAAGATTTGCTAGTATGCTGTTTAGCTGAAAATATCTGTAATACCTTCTTTCACAACATGTCTGAGAAAAAAAAATGGAGATTGACATAGAATTTGGCTTTCTGGCTGTTTAAAATGAGAAGGGAGCTTTTGTTTTTGTAACATGCTGTACTTACTGCTCTCCAGTGTACGTGGTCGGATGTGACTATCACACACATGCTGAACTTATAGTACAGATATAAGTGTGTATGTTAACTCTTATAGGTATGTTTTCCAGGGCTGTGCTACCCTAACACATTCCTCTTCAAGTTCTAAAGACCACCCATAGCTGGCTCCCTATTTGTCTTGAATGTTTCCTCTGGAGCATGATGAACAAAATGTCTTGCACATGTTGGGATGTTACTCTAAGCTGCTCTCTGTTTCCAGAGAATACTCTGCTGATTGTGTGGGCTGAATAATAATCTCAGAAAACAGAAAAGACAAACATCTCCAAAAATCTCTACCACTTTGCTTTGAAAGTGTGTTGTTGAACTATGTGTTTTCGTCCCCTGCTTATTCAGACAACTGAACTGTTATCTGGCTTGATTTTATTGGATACTCAGTAACATCTAAGACAGATGTCATGGTTGAAACTTTACACTGTTTTATTTTACAGTCACGTGCCCACTGATGGTAGCTAGTTTGGAAATAACTTTTCATTAAAGCTCTGGTTGAAATCTTCATGTATGAATCTTGAAAATTACTTTAAAATATATTTATTTACATTTGTAATTAACTAGTCCCACATGTATTCTTATTCTATAATTAGTCCAGCCAGCAAATTTAAATTCAATAAAAAGGATCTATCGTGCAGTTAAACAGTGACTTAAAGCAAACATTGCAACATGTTATGAAATCAAAGTTCATGAATAAATTTTAAGGAAAATAAGACCCTGCTGGAGATAATGTTCTTTAGGTAATACACAGTGTTTATGGGTTTTGAGCCATTGTATATGTCACACTGCAGATTGTCCTCTGACTGGGTAGGGGCAGGTTTCATTCTTACTTCCTTCAAAAAAAAAAAAAAAAAAAGTATTGTGTTGAACTTGCTGTGAGAATTTGGTTCTGCTTGTTATTGCATGAGCAAAATCCCCTTCCAAAAATCTGATAATTTCTTCATTCAGAGTATGCATAACATTAAGTGTCTCTGAAGAAACACTCAACACAAACAAACAAACAAAACCCCCCAAAACCCTGGCACCTTTCATGAGCCATTTGTTGGAAGTGAAGGGAGAGATCTGAGGAAAAGTGCAGCTTTGCCAATGCAGCTCTCATATCAACATTAACCTCATCTTGGAAGGGAGAGACAAGTCTGGAAGCATGGGGACAGACGTTGCCAATTTGATCTGTAAATGTGTCTTTAACTGCATCCAAGATGCTCTGGGACGGAGCCTTTCCTGTCGGGCACATAGTGCAAGCTGCCTTTTTTTAAAATGCAAAAATGCTGATTTCATTCATAGCCTGAAAAACCAGGCAGAGCTCATAGTACTCCTCCCTTGGGTATCACACATTACAGGAGTTTTAAAATCAGCTGTGGATCATGTCCTGCAGCTTTAAATTCACAGGAACAGAAGTCAACATTTTCTAATACAGCAATAAATGTTAATATCTCCAGCATGAAAGATACAAGGCTTATTTCTGAATCGCAATAAAGGCATTAGAGAGTGATATCACATTTAGCAGCAGGCTGTCTGCACATTTAGCAGGGCACCTTTACCTCTCCTGCATTATGAAATATTTGCGAATCTATATAGTGAGAAGAGCTGGTGCTGCAGCACTGAAGCTGGAATAAGTATCAACAGAAAAAAAAGCCCATACAAACCCTATGTGTAGGTTTGCCTGGCATGGTATTGTGCCAGAAATAGTTTTGGTCCCAGCCAGATGTGAAATTGTCACACTCATCATAAGTAATTTAGCTCTGCTTCTCAGCCAGTTCTGAGAAAAGTTAATTAGCTGGTTAAGCTATGTTTCCACTCTCCGAATTAGTTCAGCCAGAGCCAATTTAGATGTCATAACACAGCAGAGCATTTTGCTCAGGTAGTACCTCTGCTGGGAGGAAGGAATATGGACTATATTGCCTTGTAGGAGGGCAGATACCTGAGGTTCAGTTGCTTTCCCAGTCAGGGAAGATCCCAAAGCACTTTTTCTGGTTTCTTAAAAGACACAGTTCCCAAGCCATTAAGCTTTATATCCATGTTAGAACTGGAAGCCTGGCACACCATATTGACAGTGGGAATTTCTGCTGGTCCTGGAAAGCAAAAGTCTCTCTTTTCTTTCTTTCTTCCATAGCTGGAGAGAAAGGAGGAGGAAAATGGTTAATCACCATTTAGAGTTATTGCTTCTGTCATAGGCACTTTTTCAGCATATTAGATCTCTGCCTGTGGCAAATGTATTAAAAATATCAGATTTTTAAACTTTAGGATGGGTCTTGAAGGAGATTATTTCATGCATGCTCACAAGGCCCTTGCTTCACATGCCCTGGACATTTAAGGCTAACTGAGAAAAAGAAAACAAACAAGATATGCAGCTTAATATGTGAGAATTTGATGAGTGGGTGAGGCTGGCATCCTAATAAATGAAATATAACAGGTATGGTGAAAAAAATCTCTCCTCCTTTCAAGGCCCTTAACCTAAGTTTTATGTAAAAGATTTATCTCAAAGAGGAGCTATAATAAAGCTCCTTATTTAGGAAGGATGAGAAAAGGCTTTTTATGGCTTTATTCCAAATGGATAGGATAGGATAGGATAGGATAGGATAGGATAGGATAGGATATTGTTTAATAGGAATGAACAGTATGAAAGATCCAAGATAATGACAGCTTGATGTGGCCATATCTCCAAGATATCATGTAGAAAAAGAAAAGAAAAATGAAAGGGGAAAAAAAAGAGAAACATCATGATTTAGTCTTAACCATGAGCTAGAGAAAGATCCAGTTGAACGTCTTGCATAGTTTACTGGCCCAGGAATCTATATTTGAAAATTAGGAGTGAAATTACCGAAAAGCTGAGAAATTGTTACAATAACTGTAGAAATCTGGACACCCAGAACGGAATTATTCCTTCTTTATTTGTGTGCTCCACTCTATCTTCTCAGAGGCAAAAAGCTGGACTTCACAGTCAATGCAAATGACTGCCTCTAATGCAAAATTCATTATGAATTAGTACAGACATGTAAAACAAATCTGATGAACTTCACACTCTAAAGGTATATGTCTTTTTTCTATTGATTTCTTTTGATGGAATATACAGGCTTCAGTCAGAATAAGCAGAGAACAAAGGAGGTAGGAGAGGAGTGTGTCATGGAAGAAGGCATGGGGAAAGGAAGCAGGTGTAGGAGGAGAATAAGGTACTACAGCTGCAAAGAAATAGTATCCTCAGAAGGCACAGAAGGGATTGTGCACAGAGAGGACTGGATTGTGTTAGGGAAGAGAAAGGAAGATGGCAATGGAAATGGAAAGAAAAGAAGACAAAGTCAACGGAAACTTTTGAAATGTAAATATGTGAAAAAGAAGAACTGAAGCTGGATGATAGAATGAGAAGGGATGATTTTTGCTATTATGCAGAAATGGAGCATGGTGAGAGCTCTGGATAGAAAAGATTA